CCTACACAGACATTACACCGTAAGTTAATTTTTTCCAGGGTGAAGTCGGGTTATACAGCTAGTTGTGTTGTATGATTCATTTATATATTTGAATAAACAAAGTATATGAACACCGGAGGGAGTTGTTATATTATTCCATCGGTAATCGGTATCTATATAGTATACACTAAAATATCCTAGATTTTTAGGCTTTAGAAATTAACAGTACAATGTAATCTCAGCAGTAATCTGACACGTAATATATGGGACAAGAAAAATATCAGTTTATTGACTATCAGAAAAAAAAATTCCCTATCCTATATTGTGTGTACAGTTATTTTGCACATAAATGTGCGTTCAAAGACGCACACAGAGGTCGAACTTATTACTTATTATAAGACTATACCTAGTATAATACGAATCTGTTATTTACCTATTGTATATAATTAAGATGAATAATTTTAATCACTAAAAAAATTGTATTTCAATTCTATCGGTAACTTCAGTATAATAATAAATTCCCAGTATTTAATTACTAAAGTACAGTAAAAATAACATCCTATAATACCTTAATAATGTGATAATAACTAAGATACTCCGTCAGAAAGGAGGCCGGATTACTGATAACGGATTACGAACATGTTGGACTTTAATATTGTATGGTCGGATTATACGGAATACATTCTGTACCTTGTACCTATATAAATCAAATTATATAATACCATTATTTTTAATGATCTTTATTTACAATATTGTTTTTTCATTCTTGTAATTATGTTTTTATTTGTAAGGCTAATTAAATTACAAAACTATATGAATAGAATTATTCTTTTCGCCCAGCGTTGTAATAATAATTAACTGTACCTATAATACATACGACTATATATGTATATGAAAAAAAAATGTTTTTTAGATTCAGAGAGGGCAAAAGAATATGTATCTCATGGTTACACATGTACAATGATTTGTCTTACTTGTTTTGTATCTACAGTGTTATCACGTTTTAGAGCAGTAACAGTTTGGCAATCTTCGACATTGAGGGTGGTTTATAGTAGAGAATCAGATCTAGTTGATACTTAATGAAGTGAATCACATTAAATAATTTGGTTTCCAAACAGTTAAAATTAAATATAAATTATCTAAATACCTTTAACTTTGCTGTGACACTCTGAAATGTAAAAATATTCGTCTAAAATCAAAACCATAATTTATTAAAAATTAATTAGGTACATAATATATTATAACATCGTTTAATTATTACAATACTACGTCTACTGCGTCATTATTTTAATACAAGTAAGATAAACGGCTTGTCTTTTATCAAATTTCTTATTAGTAGCCTGTAGCCAGAATGATTAAAAATTGGCTTAAATGTAGGATCAGTGGCAGTGTAAATGGAATAATATAACTTATACAACCTATAGTGGTTTGGTGAGGCGTTGTCGTATTCTCAATCTGGGGAAACGCTTTAACTATACGTACCAGCCGGCGTCGCTAGTTCCCGGATGGGTGACCACCCGGGTTCTTAGCAACATACACAAACACGTGTTACAACCCTAACAGCATAAAAACCTTCTAAAAACAAAAATATACAAAAAAATCTCCTACCGTAACAACCCACTCCCAATGGTCTATATGTTGGAGCTGCAGGTTCCTCTAAAAATAAAATATATATATAGCTTATTAGCTTATAGGCATAGGCGCATTTGAGTTAAATTTATGGGAGTGCTAAAATTATGTGACCCGTAATTTCATTTATACACCATCATTGGACTACATTTTTAAAGCCAGTACAAATTTTTTATTCAAGGGATGTTATAGACTAACAAAAATGAAGATACGTACCTACTTCTCTACCATTATAACACAGATTAAACAAATTTTATAAGTTTTATTTAATCTGTGATTATAGTGGTTCAATTTAAATGTAAACATTTTTGAGTTGGTAAAAAAGATTAGCTTACATCGGTTAGAGCACATAATATTCAACATCTTTAATGTATATTCCCGTCATCAATTTGCTAAAATTGAAAAGTGCTCCGATCAATGCGAAGCAATATTATATTGTTTATGCGTTTTAATATGACATTGCATTGTTTGATGAGATCATTGGAAGTATGCTTACAATTTTGTCAGGCGTATAGCTATTTATAGCTATTTCAATTCCATAAATTTATTGATTTTGAATGTTTTCATCTAATGACTACATGAAATGTTCATGAGATTGTGTAATATGTATGATGCGGGTGATTTGTGGGAACTGAGAAGTATACACACAATAATGATCATTTAGGTACTACACAGTACACACAGAGACGAGCAGTGACCGCAAGAACGAAATGATTGCCTAAACACAATTCCTCAATTTATTAATATAAGATGTTTGCGGGTCCTTACTATGAATAGTATAAATAGCTACTTATAATAGTATAATATAATATATGTATTATTACTATTATGAAAATTATATCTTAGTAATAATAAATGTACCATAATGTCTATGACATAATATTATAACTAATAAAAATTGTATTGCCATAAGCACCCCCAAGCACCCCCCCCCCAATTGTGCCTATGCCTATAGGTATACCGTACTCTCAAGAACTCTGAACTACTAATTAAAAACATTTGACACCCTTACTGCAGAAAAATCAACTCAACGATTAGTAATGAACTTGTAATTTTGCAATAATGGTCAATGGTCACTTTGAAAGAAAGTTTTAAGTTTAAATTATAAGTTTCACCCCAATGGCCTTTGTTGCAGCACCCCCTCCCCCTCCAAAATCCCAAAATTACACGGTCTTCCACTTACAAAATAGTCTTTTGATTGAAAAAAATAACTCACAGGATACCAGTACAAACAAAATGTTGATTTGTTTATGGATTCCACAACCCCATGGCGAGCATGATTATCTCCCTTAATTTATATCGTCTACATATTTTGAGCTCTACGAATCCTCCTCGTCCTGGGCTGCAGTGGCGTCATATTGCTGTAAAAATATTATTTCACTTTATTTTCAAACTTCCTCGAGTAAATTTGTAAGGAAAAAAAGAAAAAACACGTAGTTTTTTTTGTCACAGGCATACACTTACTGCTGCAATCGGACTCTATAAGTAACACGTTAGTTTAACCTCGCGAGGTATTCCTTTTACACCGTGGTCTGCTATACCCGAAAATGATGAAACTATCTGTGTATTGTTTATTATGGTTTTGTAATACACCCATCGATCTCTGCAGGTTGAACGTCACGTTTAATCAATGACGTAGTACGTCTTGGCACGTTTGCAAACGTCTATGGACCATGGACGCACCGATATGTGTATGTAATAAATAATGTCAAACACAATTTGAAATGATTGAACATTAAGTATTGACGATGGTGTAAGTAAAAATCTTAAAAATCAATTTTTAATTATTTTAATTGCCCAAATAAAAGTTTTATATTTTTACCAGTGAGTGAATACAGGAGAATGGAATTAAAAGGTTGGAGGTAAGTTCAAATAATAACACATTCTGAACGATGAACGTTTGATGTTGAGCACGATGAACGCGATGAACGTCCAACGTAGGCACGTTGCCTCAACACCAACGCTAAGTGAACGTTGGTGAGCGATAACGTTAACCTCCAACGTCCGATATAAAAATTTTGAATATTAATAAATATCTTTGTAAAAAAAATTTAATTACGATGTTAATTATTAGTATTCGCAAATAATACTTTATAATATTATATAATACAGTAATTAATAATATATTAAGCAGAGCATAACCAAATATTTATCTCAGTAATAACGAAATAGTTTAAAATATTGACATATTGTATTAACATCTAACAAGTAATTTAATTCAAAAAATTGGTTTTTTAACCTATAAACATAGGTGATATACTAATACATAACATAGGTTTTACAAGTCTTCGGCGGAATCAACGCCCTTTATATTAAATTTGGGAGTAGTAGAATTATGTAATTTTTGGAGTTGGGTTTCTCCCCCTCCCTCAATAGATATCATGCATTTCAAGTGGGTTTGTATTAGAACAGAGTAGACATTTTTTTTTAAATGTATTTCTAGTGCTACATTTAAAGTTTTTAACTGGTTATTAATTGTATATATAATTGTTTTCTGTTTTAAGATTACAAGTAAATTCTCCATCAAAATTATGCATCCAAAGTATTTATATCGATCTACTTCGATAGTAGAACAATTACAATTTTTAATATTACTACAAGTATAATTTTTGTAGGGTTAGATATTAAGGAAATTGACAGATAGTTATAACGAGATCTAACTTTCAACATTTGTTTTGAAGGTATAATTGTAGGTTGTTGAACTATAATATATACAGTATTTTTCGAATGATTTTTAAAAATATGCTGAGCTGGAAAATTGAGCCAAGAATCGTGCCTATATACACGTATTCTACTAATACAGATGGTAAATAGGTATTCTGTTATAGTTTTATCTCTTCAGCTTAGATATACTGCACATATCACTATATCAGTCTACTACAATAATAACGACCTATGCACACACCATATACATATATATCACTCATACATACATATCATATTATGGTATCGAATAATATACAGATACATGTGCTGTATACCCTTGTACCCACTACCCCCTGTTGGGTTAGTACAGTTAGTATAAACCGTATGCAGCCCATCGAGGTATAAATAATGACGTATCTGATAGCCCTGAGGTCAAGCCACTAAGCATCGACTACAACTGCAACTACAGCAATAATACATATTCCTGTTATCGGCTACCGACGTTCTCAAGGATTGAGTACTACAATAATAACACATAAATGAGACCTGAATCAGCTATTATATTGTACAGATACGCGTATTATAATATAGGGACGGTCGATGTATCGGTATGTTCTCACGGCGGCTGCTATATGATAAGATAATAATATTACATTATTATTATTATTATTATTGTTGTTGTTGTTGTTATATACTTTGCCGGGGACGACGTCGAGGGGACACGACGACGTGCACTCTCATACGCCCAACACAACTCCCCCAGTCATCATCACATATGTTTTACATGTATTATTATAGACACACGTATACGGACATCAACCATGGTATACGCAGATTATAACAACCACAGGCACGCACGCGCACGCGCTATTAAGCAAATTTAACTTTTTACAACGACCGCGGCGGCGGTGCCCATCACGAGTAAATTATTTTTTTTTTTATCTAAATGCACCGACCCAGCCCCGCACAGTTTAAATTATCATAATCTCTTAACAATCCTTAATTGGACGAGACCGTTCAGGACGTCGAGAGCATCGCTCACAATACACATTGACATACAGTCCCTTGGTCCCGTCACGTCATGATCTCGCGTTCGATATTATACCTATTATTATAATATTGTTGTAGGTACACGCATATTACTTACGACACCCAACGTCGCGTCTTGGTTTAATATAATATAATAATATACGATTTCGCCCGAATAGCCGATATTTTCGTTTACCTTTGATGTGATTTTATTTTGTTTGATTTAAAAAAAAAATTGCTTGCCCCTTACTCCGATCAAAAATGTACCGTCTGTTTTTGGTACTGTGTTTGTGTTACGGTTTGCCGGGCCACGCGTCCTCGGAGGAAACAACCACTTCGGTGTACGAACACTGTGGAAATCTGCAGCTTCAAGAAAACATACAAATTAAATTGGTACGTGTTTGTTTTGTTATAATAGATGAAGAACTATGGTAGGTACTATGCATTTAAAATATAAATTATACATTATACATATATTATAAATTAGGTTCGATCAATTTTGACTTTTTTTTTCGATTAATGTTACTTATGAAAATTTTTATTACTAGGTCAAAAAGATTTAAAATATAATAAAAGGAACCTTATAAGTTGTTCTAAAATCAATTTAAAAAAGGAAAATATATATGCACATTTTTTTTAAATATGCATTAAGAATTTTAATTTTAATGATTTTAGTTATTTTGTATGAATAAAAAAATATTAACTGTATTATATACTTAAAATATTTTGCCAATATAGGAATAATTTCTATAAGCAATTATTTTACTCTTTTGGTATCACAAAATGCATCTCCAATAACTTAATTAGAGTCAAATATTATACTTAACATTTCTTTTATTAACTCAAAATTATGCCAAAATATTTCTTGTCTGAAATTTAAAAAAAAATTGCTTCACATACTGAAGTAGAAAATTTTCAAACTTTTATTTTTATGAAAGAAACTCAAAGAACTTCCTTGTAACAAACTTAATCTATAATTGGTATTCTAGGAGTTAAAAGCCAAAATTATTGTAGAGTGTTTTTAAAAATAATTGGGAAAACAATGAAACAATTTGGAAACATTTTCTAAACAAAAATAGTTGTAGACAAAATCAATTATTTTTTTACTCATAAATGAATCTTATACAGAATGGTAATTTTCACCAAATTTTCATTAGTAAAATTACTGGACGTGAAATAATTTTCAAAATATTTCGACTCTTTTTGTTTTATTTATAGATATATGCATTTTAAAATTGTTGACTCTTTTTAGTTTTTTTATGATTTATTACTCAATAATCAATATTATAGGCAGTGCGAGTAATTTAAAATTATGTTAAGCTACATAATGGCTATAATCATTGTATACTAGATAATTTTTTATCACCTACCAAATGTTATATGTTGTGTTGCTAAAGATACGGACCATAGGATATAGGCGCCACTGTCCTCAGGAAACACTATTAGGATAGATCAGCCAAGTTTGTTTAATTCATGTTAAGTTATGAATGCTGAGCGCCTGACCTAAACGAAGACAGAATAAAATGTAGCAATAAGAATTCAGTTCAATCTCATCGTGCTTGATAATTATACATTTTGGTTCCGTTCACGTTTATTAACTTAAAGTGGCTACAATTAGTAAAAGTACATGTATCTAGAATGTCTTAAAAAAAATTATACTATTATTACGCTTACACTTCCGATATTCGAATTGCATCAGCCTAATGTTTTATTTAATGTAATTCTATTGCAAATAAATGATTATTTATTGTTCTATATACCACGTGCCCACGTCCTAGGGTATTGGAAGTTTCATACATTTTGTTGAATTGCACTGAATACATAGTTATAAAACTAATTCACTCAATTAAATTCATATATTATTATGTAAATAATGCATTAGATTAAATTGCAAACACTTCAGCGCTCACTTCGTGAGATTTTAAAAATTCCTCTACTACAATCTGTAAATGGCAAATTAATTTTATTTTGTTCAAGTTATAAAATTGAAAGATTTAATCCATGGTGATGAATTGACAAAGCTTTTGAATAGTTTAATATGTCATAATGATTTTTATATATTTATTGTATAGGTTAACTGTTGGGCTTCATCATAAATTGGTCAAATGATTTATTTGTTATACTTATTTGTCTATTCGTTTTACGTGATAATTAATTTCTATCATCCATGTTTACGGAGGTTTAATAAATGCATGAAAATTTTAAAAACATCAGCTCATCGGTTGTTTAATTTTTAACTATAATTTGTAATGTATACTTACACCTAAATATCTAATGATACGGAATTAACTATTTTAAATAATATTTTAAAATAAAAGATATTAAATAACAAATTATTTAGTAACTTAGGCCTTAAGTCTAGTACCTATTGGAAATAATTATCAAAAACAATATGTAGATTACTTAATCAAACACCATTGAGAAGTTTTTTTTCTAGGATTTCCGGTTGAACTAGTCCATAATTAAAAAACCCCCTAATAATTCATATAGATTTATTAAAAGAAAATATGATATAATGGTAGGTATTAAATAGACTTTTTAACAAAAAAATGTATCCATAATTTAGATTTTAGATCCGAGGGAACTTGTCAATACATGAATAATTATACAACAATTATTAATTATTAATTTAGAAAAATAACTAGAGTTTAAGATATTTTACATTTAGTACTTCACTTATATGAGTATATATCAAAAAACATTATTCATAGTTTTCCTATAGTATTTTATACAATTAAGAGGATACCACTCCCGCATGTGTTCAATCTTACGTTCACATTAACCAATTTTACTATTATTATTTTTTAAATTAGTGTGGATTTATTTAGTATCTAATTTTAAGGCAAGATACGAAGATTATTATCTAGAAAGCTTTATTGATATTTTAATTACAAAGCAAGTTAATAATCATTTAAAAATTTACACAAAATGTACAGTCAAAATGCAATTAAGGAGAACGTACAATTTGCGATGTTGGTAAGACGGAGAAAACACATACGAATGTGGCGCACTCCTCTTAAAACTAAAATAACAATGTTTAATTTTTTTTTTATTCTGTACTACACATCAGTCCTTGATATAAATAAATACTAAATAGGAAATAAATAAATTGAAATTAGATGCCGCTTAAATTGCACCTTGTTTTATAATTTATTGTGTTATGTTTTTTATTTCAGTCAAATTGATGATGTCATTTTACAGACATTAATATATACTATAATGTCACCAATGTATATCAGTATTCTCAGATGATTTCAGTTTAAAAATAAAAACAATTTAAAATGTCGAATCATTAAAATACCCACATACGTTTGAAACAGAGATATTTAAGTAATATTTTTCGTTATTTTTATTTTCAGATAACTGGTACGTGGTATGTGATCGAAATTTTACAACACAAAACAGACGATAGACTATTTCATGGAGAGAAATTTGAAGTACCCACTTGTCCTTCTGTTTTCCTGACGCTGGCGGGTTCTGATACAGATCTGAAATTGTATTGGAACGAAGATACAGGAGACATTGAATATCTGTTCAAAATTAAAGACAGATCGACTCCGGGATTCTGGCTGTCATCTGGATCACAAAATGGTAATAACCAAAACTAATACCACTTATGTGTAGGTAGCACAGCACGTGCTATTATTCACTTTCTTTAGCGATGGGTATACTCATAGAGCATAGAACATAGGCGAATGTGAGCCTTGAGGAGACCCCGAGACTATCTATATTTTATTTATGCATTTCGAAAATTCTGATTAGTATATAAATACGTGGGCAAGGTTCAAACCACCATTGGACATGGACATTTTATGAAATTGTTGAAGACAAAATACTGAGGACAAACCTTTATTAGGAAACATTACTTAATAGAACTACAGCTATATGTACATGCGACTTATTCCTAATGACACTAATGCATATAATACCATGTACAAAAGAAAGTTAAAATGTTCGTATACCTAGTATAACTTATGAGTTATGACTTATGAGTATTGTAATTGAACGGTTTCTACCCTCAATCGACCATTGACTCAAACCGATAAAGCGAGAAATTAAACAGAATTAACTTATTATTAGAATTTAATTTTTCAACTGTGCATCGTTTAGTTTCATAATATGTGTATAGAGGTATATTGTTTTCGTTACGTCACGTCTGCATAGTACATAATGTATAATATATGATATTATACTGTAAAATGAGTACCTACTTATAATGTCATACTTAAATTAACAATTTTGACATTTTTAAAAATAAAATATTTAGTTGAAATACATGGTTAGATATTAGAAAGAGAACTTAATTCATATCTTTTTAAAATAGATACTTAAGTACATTTCTTGTAACTGACAGCTCAACCGCTTGTTTCATCCTAATACTAGGTACTATAATAATGTTATAATGTAATATTATAATTACTGTAAAATGGTATCAACTATCTTGGCTGTATGAAATTATGTTAGTTACGTTATCGCATAGGCCATAGCACTTAAACCACAGAAGTATTATTTTTGAAAACATGTTCTAAATTATAATTATTTAATAACAACAGTCAATAAGCCTTGCTAAAAATTTTAGTAAAAGTATAACTTATACTTACTTTTACCAAACGGCAAACACTATACTTAAGTCTTAAACTAATGTTTGAAAACGTCAAAAATATAATAGAAGTGGAAAACTCAATTATCTATCTGCGTTAAATACTTAATTGTAAACCCAAAATTACAAATAATTGATAATAGTATAAAATCTTGCTAAATAATAATCGCTGACAATCAGGTAGGTATATACAATGTATATTAAACATCTGAAGTCAAAAGTCGCGAAACATATACTAACTATCAATTACCAATGTCCTATACAAATACCTAGTCTTGACATTTAGTAGTTTGATAGTTTAAAAAATCATTTTATTATCGACATATTTATGAACCAAGTTGCAATGTCATTATTGGTTCTCGTGAACCTAAACGAATAGTGAAGACGTGTAGGTACTCTTTATTCAGAAACATAAATGATTTTTTGAAACTCTTCAGAATATTTTTGAGAAGGATTGACCGAAGGTGGTATGTCAAGCTAAAACGCATAATGGCACATAGTCAGTTGTGTATTTTAATATTAGGTACATTTAATGTTAAAACACGTTTACCACCGATATTTACAAAAACTGAATTGTAGTTGAGCATAACATATAGTGCTGGATTTCTTGGTGATGTAGAGGTGCAGACGAATTTTTAACTTGTTCGACTGACGACTGTTTAAGTAACTTATTCCATTCCTTTGAAAAATTTAAAATGACCTACTTATCATGATTTACTAAAAAATATATAATATAATGTCTATCAGACTTATCAGTTATAATTAATTATTATAATAATGTAGGGGGGGGAGAGAGGTATAAACGAATATATTATAAGTATCGAATTATATATAACACCCCATTTTTATGTTGAAATAACAACCAAAGACAATATATTATATATATGAAATACCTTTCGGCGGAAACGAAAAACGGGAACCTGACGACCTGTTCATTTCAAATGTTCGCGACATGTTTTTTATCTTTACGTTTAACCTGGACGCCGTCCGTTTTGCAGGGACCCTAGTGCAGGTGACCACCTACGATCAGTTTGCGGGCATGGTGTACGTGCGGAAGGCGATCAGCAATCACATGGTGTTGACGTTCTGCTCGCCGAATACGCAGCTGTACAGCGTGGTGTTGGCCAGGGACAAGACGTTGGACGCCAAGGAACTGAAGAGCATCGTGAACCACATGCACCTGCAAAAGTTGCCAATCACGCAGACGAAACGCACGTGTCGCAGCTCGGCGTCCACAGCCCGGGCCACCGCTTGGATGACCACAGCGTTCTGCTTGACGTACTTGGTGTGGTACTTGCGAGTCCACAAATAGGTCACAACCGCGAGCGTCGCGCGCCTATATATATATATATACACGTCGGGGCAAACGGACGCGCAAAACACACACACACACACACACACACACATATCCACCTACACATACACACGCATGCGGGCGCAGGGTCGGCGTTGCTCGAAGTTCCCGAAGGGGTATTAATTTATGATAAATTGTATAATAGTCGACGGTTTCAACTCAGAAACTCGCCCCGGACGGAGTTTAGGAAAATTATTTTCATAGGTAGGTATAACATCATCGTTTCCGAATGATGTCTGAAGTCGACAACTTTATCAGTTTCATTTCGATTAAAACTTAAAATACAATCCATATTGTAGGTAATACTTAAGTCTTTTCATATCTAGGATATATCAAATAATTTACCACCTATCTAGTACCTATATTAAAATATAATTATATACTTCGGGTTCCAGCAAAGTCTACTCGTATACATATACTGCGGCAGTGAATGTACATTTTAAAAACCGTCGAAATTAGTACGTAACTATACTGCTTCTGTACTGCTGAAACAGAATATACGTCGTACGAGTATAAGCCTATTTTTAAACAGTATTTCATTATATTCGTTCCCACATAAAACTTTTTAAATTCAATATGTTTAAATAATATCACTGCGTACCTACCTATAAGACAGTGTACACTATACAAATAAGGTCACAGTGCTATAAAAATCCACGGTCTTTTACCCTTAACTCTACTCCGACCCTGCGCACACACAAGAATGACAATACTTAAAACGATAGGAAAGGAAGAAAAATAAAAAACGAATAACTTATCACTTCCATACCCAACATTGCGTTGTTGCCCGAACAAATAATTACGACATAATAATATACTTACCTATAATATGTGTACCGTGCTCAATTCAAGTTGTGCAATAAATACTGTTAAAATCTAACAATTCCGTTCAATTTGTACTTTTGCTTAATTTTTCGGATCTCTTTAGTGCATAGTGATTTTGTTTTTTTGCGTACCTACATACATGCTACAACCTACCTATAAATTATAATATTGTTTTAGTACACACATTTATTAACGTTTAATTGGACGAATACTATTATTATTTATTGCAGTACCTACTATAACATTATAATTCCACAATGTTGGGTTACCTTTTTGTTTGTGAAATTTATCTTCTTAAAAACGATTGTATTGTTACAATAACTACTTAGATATAATTATTATTTACTAAAATATTTGTAAATTGAAAAAATGTTTTTTATAAGAGTTTATGAAATTAAATGTTTATTACAAATACCTTATATTAATATACATATATTATATATATATTGCAGTAATCTAAGCAGCCATACAACAGCTGTGAAATATGTTAGCTTCGCGCAAATGTGTATACTTTATTCGTTTAAATAATAGAGCACAATAATAATTGTAAATGTACATTAACTCGAAACACATATTGTATCTATTTGGATAAATAAAAATAGACTCTACTTTTACAATTGCCTACTTATACAGCATAATATTGAATAAAAAAAAACATATTAAATTATATTATAAAAGGCATAACCACAGTCTTGTTGCATCACTTGCATTATTAAGGATTTAATTATATAACATCTATAATGACAATATTAACCAAATATGTACAAAAATATTAAGTAATTCGATTAGTCTTTGTAATGTCTGACGAGAGGCGGTATCACGATGATTATCAGGTAAACGATGAGCGTCCAGATGGGCATAAACACGTAGTATATTGGCAACTGGGGGTTTTGATTCTCCAGCTTATAGCAAAGCGTCAGTTGGGCAATGATCTTCATCAGGCAAATGACAAATATTATGCACCTTCGACTGCCGCAAAACACCGGCATTTCAGTCATCGCCTGACAAGAATTGCTGTGCACGCAAGAGCAAATTATGAACAGTGCCGTGAGAGCGTCGTCCAACCAAATCGGCATGAATATCAGATACCAGCTCTGTTTTTGTTTGGTCTGTAGTTGTATGGTGAGCAGCACCAAGAATATCACCATTGAAGCCCACGTGGTCAGTGCACGTTGAGTCAGAGCCATTCTAAAAAAATACAAATACATTATTATTATATTTTAGGAATTGTGCTATCTCATACAGAAATAGCCTGTACATTTTTAAATATTATCTTTCTATACATAATATATAAATAAACTTAGTGATCAGTGATTTTAAAATATTTATTAAGAAAAAAGGACTGTTCTTCAGGAAAATATAATTTTCGTAGTTTTTATTGGCTAGACATACAAAATATTTTAAAATAAAAATGTGATTAACTAGCTACTGCAGGACAGATGTTTCAGTACAATACTAAATGGCATCTACAGAAGACACGTGAATAAAACATTTTTATTTACAGTCGGAAAACTTTTCTAAGGATTTTTACATATCTATAGCTGATCAAATACGGAAACCAAAAAAATCATTTTAGTTGATTGTATAGATAACCATTCTGAATTTACATATTGTCATAAATGTTTTTCATCAAAACTTAAACGTGTAATAAGATAATAAGAATATCAAACCACTTACATTTGTATTAATTATATTATATTATTATACAGTATATTACAATTGTGGATTTGTTTAATCAATTAAAATTAAAAACAATATTAATTTGAAATCATACGATTTATAAGCAACTGTTTTAATAATAACAATAAACTAATAAGTCAGTAGTATAAATATCTAGTTTATCATAACCCATAATTTTTAACTAATGTAAGTTGTAATAAATGAAATGCATTATTTAGTAAATATTAACTCATAGCTTAAAAAATATATTTTTGATGAACAAAAATTAAATAATAAAATGTAAGGAATTTTACACTGATCATTGCGGGTGATCGGTACCTCGGGAAAGAAAGTTTTTTAAAAATGTAACATTTATTAATAATTCTAATAATTTTAAGTTGTAAAACATTTCCCCCCGAAATATTATCGGCTGTATCAGTTGTAGACTATAGTATACTAAAGGGAATAATAATAACACAATTTAAGTTAAGTAGGTATCTAACTAATACAAAAATACACAAATATGAGCATGGCCTTAAAGTTACATTTTATGTGTAGATTACTGAATTAAAAACAAAAACAAAATCTCAAGAATAAGATAAATATTTCTTTAATAAAAACATATAAAAATACATTAAAATAAATAATAACACATATTATTATTTCGTAACTTTATAGTAAACACATTACACATATATGTTGCAAGTTTCTATTATAATACAGGACATTTGTAATGCTGACCGTCCTTGCAACAGAACTCTTTGCCGGTGGACAAAAGAGTGTTCATCCACGAGTCGTTACAGTTTTTCACGAACAGATGTGCCTGTAAAAATCAAAAACATTAACATGTAAAAAATTTTAATTTACAGCGAAAGGAGATTCAATAACACTCACGCGTTCCTTATACACATCACGATCGACCGAGCCGCAGATTATCGCCGGACTGTTTGGTAAATGTTTTGCGATCTGCAGACGAGAATAAAACAACAATATTACTGTCATAAAATATTCCTACTACCCGACACCCTTATCAATGATGATATTACACTGTTCAGCTAAATTAAAAAATACGTAGACCACGATCCCGGTATATACTCACCATTTCCAAGCATTTGTTGGTGCAAGTCTTGACGCCCAAAGCATTACAGGAAGCTGGTTCGTCCTGTTCGTGCAACAACGCGGCGTATCCGGTAGGCTGTTTTTTACTACCCTTGGTGATTTGGCTACTCAAAAACACGCCACAAATACACGGAGTCTTCGTGGTCGACGAGGGTAGCGATTGCGCTCCGCTCGATGACCCTTCAAACGGTAGTGGTTTTACCGCTGGTGCATGATTCAACATTTCGTTTTGCTTTTGGACCGGCCTCTGTACGTCACGGCCGTCGGATTGATCGGCGAAACTATAAAACGAGTAGGTAAAATAAATAGGTAAAGTTAGTTATCAATGATATTATACTAGGTAACATATAAGTAGGATACTTAATGCAGTACTATATTATTGGTGACGAAAAATAAACCAATAAACGATATGAAGCCGATAATATTATATTATATTGTCGGCTCAGAAACAGTACGATAAACGGTAGGTAGGACTGGCTTAAACAAAAAACTGGAGGCAACCGGAAGCGAAAAATAATTAGGCACGTATGTGTAAACTGTAAAACGACTTACCACAGCGAGATCGACCCAATTGCGACAGCTAATGACACCATCCTTGTAGTCATCATCATCCTGATATAGTTTTTTGGAAGCTATATGTGCTGTAGAATATAAAAAGTACAAGTGTGGATCGAACTTATAGTACTTGATGAACTCTGACCGCATAAAGTGAGGGAATGCGCTTGTTTTCGTTCTTAGGACGGTATTTATAAACGGCGTGCAAACGACGAGAAGACTTCCTCGTGAATTGTGTTTTGTAAACACTAAATTAATGTTTAAAATATAAGCGGAAACACGGCGATGGAGAACTGTTTAATTTTCGAAACGAGAAACAATATATAACGGTTCAGGAAACCTGTTCGTTGAGTACATTTTGTAAACATTAAATTACGAGTACAATAACCAAAAAAAAAATCCTGTGATAACAAAACAATTTTAAGGCCAACTTCACTCGATACTATATTATTGTTATACTAGTACACATTTTATACCCAACAATAATGAGATTTCGGTATTTCACTTTTACTACGAATTCTATAGGTTCATAACGTATTCTGTATACTTAAACTTAACACAGCTAAGTATACTGTATACCTACTTATAACATCTAACCAATCTCGACGATTCTAACGTAATACAAGCATAATATCATATATATATATGACATAGATTTAACGTCAGGAATTAATAGTAATATTAATAATATAATAATATTTAATTCCTAACACTACTCTTAAACTATTTCAATTGTATAGTTTTATACCCAGAAAATTGTTCTTATACACTAACCCATTAAATTTAATTTCATAATTGCGTTTTAATGTGTAAGTGTAAAAATCAATAAATTGTTTTTTTGAATATTTTTTAAAAAAATACGGGAATATATTTCGACAGGTTTATTACATAAGACAAATTTACTCGCCGCTTGTCACTGAAAAAAGTCATGAGCATTGAGCTCAGTTGCAAGCCACGATTAGTGCCAGCCCCTATATTATAGTCACTAGCACACTAGCGATTTTACTAGCCATGTCGATTACAAAATGCGATTACACTCTCCAGAGAGTACCAAAAGATGTATTAGGGAAGTCGTCAACTCTATTTGCGGGTTTGCTGTGTACCTGACTAGTTCATAGTGAATACTTTTTTTTAGTTTAATCAACCCCTCAATTAAATTAATTTAATTAGAACATTTTAGGTGGTTAAGGGATGTCGACTAGCCGTTACTGGTTATAGTATCACATGCACCTACAAAACTATTATGCACTTATAACTTCTATACTTAAAAATAAACTGCACATTATAAAACAAAAACAGTATCGTCATTATAATATTATGATAAGTATTATATTGATAAACTACAAAATATATATTTTCACGCTTAATTTTAAAAGTTGAACAGTTTAAAAGTGACTAAACTAAGCAATCCGGGGATTCGGAAGCTTAAAAATATAACACAGGATTTTATATTTAACTCTTTATTTTAAACTGCATTATTACACGTCTGATTTTTAGTAAGACGTTTATTGATAACATCCGCTGTGCCTTCCATGACTACCTTGTCCCCAACCCTACACCAGAATCCACACTTCACAAGCTTTCTTATGGTTTGTATCTCAACTTCTATTTTGACTAGATCGCCGGCATAACACGCGTTTGGAAACCTCAGTTTCTTGGACACGACAACCGTGCCGTCACCGGGTAACTTGGTACCAATCACCCCAGACACCAGACCCGCTAAATATATGCCGTGCACCAAAGGACGATCGCCAGAATGTATGGGATTAGTGTCACCACTCAGACGAGCAAAATCGTTAATATCCGATTTTTCGACTCTTTTCGATATCACTACACGATCGCCAACCGTAAGAGCTCTGGTGGACTGCAATCGTCTACTTAGCCGAGTAAGCATGACAAGAGTTGTACTTATATATAGTAATGATATAATTATGAAATATATTTGTTATATATGACTATTTATGACTATGTAAGTACTTAGTTATTCGGATGAGCACTATGTGTTGGACGTGATTGCCGTTTGAATGTCGTGTTCGGTACAGAAGTCTGTCAAAAATATTTTAGCCACATTCCTCAGCTTAGGGTTTTCGCTCTCAGCGTGCGACAGCATACAACCAACAATGGACGGATTTACAATGTCTGTAAAAACAAAAATGTAGTAAACGGGTTTTAAAGATTTTCTTTCTTATAAATATAATTCAATATACAAAATTTTCAATTGATGTTTGTTATTTAATAATTTTAAAGACACCTGCAGTAAAAAAAAAATAATAACGGTAATATATAAGAAGAGCCTATATTGTTTTTTTATTTTATAAATCCAAGGTTATAATATTGTAAAACTTCAACTTGGTAATTTTCAGTTTTTTCGAAATGGTTACATGATTTTAATTTATTTTGATGCAAACCGTAAATTATGTTATATTATAATAACTTAAAAATTGAAAAAATATGTTAAAAATTTAGTGAACATATTTAAAAATATTAATTTGTAAATAAAAAAAAACAAATAAATATACTTTGCTCATTTTTTTCGATAATCAACTCTCCGTTTATCACTGTAAGTGTAAGATTTTTATTTTTAAATTAAAATAGACGGAGACCTCCATATATTTTATAAATATTTTAACTATGAAGTTTAATAAGGTCGTTAACAAATTAAGCATTTTATAAGTACAGGTGCAAATAGATAACTGAAAGTCTTATTGTCTTATCCTAAAATTGAATGGGTTTAACATACTACACTGTAAGTAATACACGGGCTACCAATATTACACGGATAATTTATTTATTTATAAGAAAAATTATGTAAAGAGATCACCATTCAAAATATCATGTTTTAATTGAAACTATAATAACGCTTTTTTTTTTGTTGGAAATTGGGAACAACATTAGAGTAAGACGCATCGGCAAAATTAATAAGGGAATGTAATTAAAACAATTATTTTAAGAAAACAGATAATTATTAATTAAGTTATATTATTTATAGATACCCTACGAAAAAACTAATGATTTATGGAAATAAATAATGTTAGGTATACATTATACAATTTAATTTGACTATTTCAAGTAATTGTATGGACAAAATGTATGATATAGTTCAGCGGTTCCCAACCTTTTTAGCTGTGCGGACCACCAATTTTGTAAGAAAATCTTTGAGGCCCACAAACAGCTCACCTATACACGAATGCATAAATATATATATATATATAATATACAAACGTCAGTTGTTAGAATTAAAAAGAATTAAAAAATCAATTGTTTATCATGAAAAACACTTTATCAAACTTAATCACAAGTTAAACAATTTAATGTGATTTTTGACATTACTTGTCCTTCATGAGAGAGTCAATATTGGGATGAAAATTGGATGGTTTTACAATTAAATCACTTTTAACATTCAATTAATTCCTATATTTAGCGTTAATTAATAATTTGACACTACAGAGTGTAGATAATATTGATAAATATTATTATAACCAGAAATGTTATTAGGTATATACTAAAAATATGTAATAATATTATTTAAAATATATATATAATAGTAAGTATTATATATTTATATGGTTCACGGGCCAGTATCCGCGGCCCATGGGTTGGGAACCGCTGATATAGTTGATAGATATGTGTAAAAGTTAGAAAATAATAAGCAAAACTGTCTTAAAAATTATCACACATTTTTTTTTTTTTTTTAATGCTTGCGTAAGTTATGACAGTTATGCAATGTATATCTTATTGTTTTAAACAAACATTCAAAATAATAAATAAAGTTGAAATGGACATAATGTCACGTTTTAAAAAAACGCCACACCCGAATTTTGTTGTCTCCGTCTACAAGACTCACTTAGTGAGTAACATGGTAAATTTTCGTATAGCTTTGTAAGTTAAAATACTGGTGTGGGATCCTCTTAATATGATTAAAATAATTTATCATTCGTTCTTTCAGGAATAAAATAATTAATAGTATTTAAATGTATTAAATTAGTTAATAAATAATACCTAATGAATACATAAAATGTATAATAGTACGCAAATTAGTTAAACAAAATTTTTTACCACTTATAAGATATACCCATTAATTGTTTCAAATTTAATTACAACTTGCTGACGTTCCTAACATACCAGATTCTATAGCATAGGAGATCGGAAGGAGTAAGGTGGGGCATTCCCCCCCCCCGGCTTTACAGAAATAATTTTAAAAATCAGTTTACCTATAATTAACATAAAAATAAAAGCATGTAAATAAATTACTTTATAACAAGTTGTAAGTGATTATACAAAAAAAAGTCACCAATCACCATTATAAAAAATGTCGTTATGCCAAGTTAACGATTAATATTATATTTTATGTAATAAACTTGCCCCCTCCTAGACAAATTCTGCAGGCGACTATATTCAATAATCTTTAAGAAAACTATCATTACTTCAATTCAAAAATCTATTTGAATTTGACCAATCAAATGAATAAATCTTTAAATATTAAGGTTAATTTAGTAAGCCCGAAAAAAAATATTATACTTAAATAAATTCGGTAAAATCATGCCTGAATAGCAAACAAACTTCTAATATAAAATCCATAAGTTATGCCTATAGGGGTGCAAACGGCTGACACCCTGCAATCAGTTCTACATAGGAACTTAAAATTAATGATTTATTTACAAATATTATTATAATTAATAAATTCACATAAAATAATGATACTCCTTTCTTGTATAAATTATTAAGTAACTAAATTTATAGTCTGGAGATCTTATTCGAAATTCCTCTCAATATACCTAACCATACTCTCAACTCCATAAATACATTTTATGTTTTACACAAAAACAAACCTAGTCATTATGCCCCTTAAATAGAATTTTATTAATAGAAATTCTGTGAAAATTTTCATTTTTTTTTTTTTTTTTTGATTCCCAAGCAAGTTAAAAGTGGCTGCTACTAAAATTATTCTGCCCACCATATATTACAGGGGTGGCCACAACGAGGCTCGCGAGCCGCACGCGGCTCTTAAATCAATTTCGTGCGGCTTTTGTACCAAACTCAGACTAAAATTAATAAATATATAATTTCATTAGAACCGTCAGATAGTGGTTTCGTATTCATTTCAATCGTTATTAGGCATAGATTGGCAAGCAGCGGCGGTGACGGAGCTCTTAATATGTGTAACCAAAAATAATCACTGTGTGTTTCGACCACGCCAGAGTTCCTTCATTTGATTTAAAATGAAAAATGTATCTTCATTTTATAAACATTGCTTTACAATGTGGCTCACCTCGACTTAACTTTATACATTTGCGGCTCCCAAAGTTAAGGGTAGTGGCCACCCCTGTTATATTATAATGTATGCAGTGACACAGTGTGCACATCTATATATGGTACTCCCAAACATTATAATGTAATATTTTATCAAATATCATAAATAATAAATAAAACAATAAAATCAGAGTAGTTCATCATATTGAAGGGATCATACACACATTTTCGGAATAATATATGTATTCTTAGGTGTAGTAAGTTACTACTAGTAACTCATACAATTTTATAAAAAGATATTATGTTAATTATTTAAATGAAAGTTCAGAACTTAATAGCATTATATGACTTACATAGTTAATTTTATTATATGATAATAATTTGCTACCCAGAAGTACAATTTAGAAGGTTTTGATAACATTCTAGATATATAACAACTAAATATATTTATACATGTTTATAGGCACAACTAGATTACAATTTTACCCCCATCTTCCCCCTTAGTTGTATCTATGTATATGTCTCTTGGATAAATTTCCAAAATAAATTGTTTGTTTTTTGTTAATTTAAATCATTGAACAATATCATTTGCATACACATTTTTGTAGAAACTTTACATTTAACTAAATATAAAAACAAATAAAATATAGATTCCATTAATAAGTAAAAATACTATAATTTACTATCCAACAAATATTAAATATTTAATAACAGACATTTTACAAGATAATTTTAAAATTTCTTAATAATAATTTATCATAAGTAATTATTTCAAGTATTAAGTAAATGATTTAAAATATAAAACTCATTTATATAAAACAATATAGCTTAATAATCAGAGTAATTTTCAGAAATTCAACTGCATATGTATATCAAATATTCTACATTATACCTATATCTAAATTTACTGAACATGACTAAACGGTATTACATTTTCCACCAATTTGGAATAAATGTCTTAGCCGTGAACCCACCAACAACTAATCGTTCTGCTTTCAAACATTCATCAATTCTTAATAGTGCAATCCCAACTTTTCCACATAATCCTCTCAACTTGCCAGGTGGTCTTTTAACACCTGTGTCAGATTCATTGTAAATATCTGCATCCAAATTCAAACCAGTGGGTGTTTCATCAAAAATTAAAGGCATTATTCTTTTTCTTGTAACTCCAGTGTGATGAGTCCTTGCTGTCAGTTCTTGTCCAACATAGCAGCCTTTATTAAAGCTTATACCATTTAAATAGTCACAGTTCATTTCTAATGGAAAAGATTGCCCTTTCAGTAACTCGCTGCCTTCAGCAACACCATTTGTATATCTCCATTGTTGATAAGTAAATTTGTTATCACGTTCGTCCAAAAATATTTCATTTCTAATACCTGAAGTCTTATCAGATAAAACTCTTTGACCTAAAATAGGCAAACGTGGGTCATTAAAAACGCTAACTGAATTAAGTTCCATGTCCATAGGTGTAGAACTGAATAACGCCCAAATACTGGTATCATTTAATATGTTAATGTTGATTTTTCTTCGTAGTAAGTACATTTTTAAGTATTTAATTAAATCACTAGCATCATCTTTTTCACATTCAAGTAGTATATGATCATCTACTTTATAAACCAAGCAATCATATAAAACACGGCCTTTTGAATTCAATATCATTGTGAACAAAGATTTTTCAGTTTTTAGTCTAAAAATATCATTGGTTATCAAACCCTGACAATAATCATACATGCCATCTCCTTCAATTTTTATCAGACTTTTATGGCTTAGAAGTTCTAACTTAGGTTTGAATGGAGATGTAGAAAATAAGCGCACTAACTTCATTGGAACTCTCATTGTTCAAAAACCTTAGAAAAACATATGGTACCAACTAATTAATTATAATATAATTATTCTAATATTAACTCTCATATAGTATGCGGTCTAAGTATAAACACATACATAAGAATTAAAATTTAAAAATATTATTTATTTTGCTTTTCAAACTAAATAGATTAAACTAAAAAATAAAAATAATAACTAAGAATAATGATAAATATTACAGCATACAACTTAAATATTAATTAACATTATTTAATGAAGTAAGTTAGTGAAAGAGCGAAATAATATTAAAACAATTAAATAAATAAATACCGCATACTACATATTTTAGACCTTACATGTATGAATAATTTTAAATATAATTTTTCAAATCTAAGTTCATCAAAGGTTTAGAATTTATACAATGAAGTAAAAATTATCAAAAATCTTACCAAATAGTACAAATACAATATTATATTTAGACCTTAAACAAAATGGAAAAAATATTTAAACCAAATAACCTAAAGAATGATTATTTTAGTTGCTTGTTATCATATTATAAAATAGTACATTTATACAAAAACATTAAAATATTGTTTAAAGAAGAATTTTATACACAGTCCTACATTTCCATATTATGAATCTTTTTAAACATAACATGATAAAATATTAGTTTGGATATTATTTGAGATGTATTGTTACATAGTATTTATTTTTAAAAAAATACGAAATAAAATAAATACATTTAAAAAATGTATTTTATTAAAATCAAATCCTAGTACTTTTACACGGGAATTCCGAATTAGTGATACAGTTGTACAATTAATGTAAAATTGTTTAGTAAAATAATTTTATGTATAAAAAAAATAGAGTTATGAAACAAGTATACTTAAATTAGTGTATATAATAATATGTATACTTTTTTGATTAAATAATAATAACAATAATCCAAGAAACCGATATAAATTTTAAATTATAACTATGGTCTTCAAACAGGACAGAAATTAGGTATAATAATTAGTATTTTATATTGGTCAATCCACATTTAAAGTTTTTCAAATAAATTTAAATTTATGAAATTTGAATCTGGCTCTTAAATTTCATAATATTAAACATATTATTTTATTAACATTTCCTATTTTTAAATTGTTTAAATAGGTACATTAGCTACACTAATGACTTAGCGTTATTATAACACTAAAATATTAAAATACATATTTAAAATAAGTTTGTATTATAGTACACTAGTGATAAATAAATTACTATTTAATACAAATAATTAGATACTAAAAACTAAAACTAAATTACATTTTTAAGACAACAAAAATAACTCAAAAAATTAATAAGAATTTACACTATACAACATGTATGTGTCGTCTTTGTTAAACTAGTATTTAACTCGGCAATCTACATATTTTTGAAGTAAGATAGTAGAATATAATGGTCCATACACACTCCCATTCCAAAATACGGCCAGACATAATTAACCATACCGCAGCAATGTGTGGAGGACTTGAAGTCTTCAACTGCGAAAATTTGGTTTTCGCATCGTTATTTGTAACATAGGCACAATACATGCGGGTTGCTCCTATCAAGTTTACAGCTAATACCTAATCCCTCAATAGTTTTGTTTGTATAAAAGAATAACCTAACACATTCAATGCTGATCACATTTGAGTAGGTATACTTGTTGTAAGTTGTAACACAGAACAAATTGAGGTTTTGAATAACAATTCTTAAAAATTGAAAAATTAAAATATCAATGTTTGACTTGCATACTTATAAGTTATAAGAAATCCTACAAAAAATGAATAGTTTAATTGCATGCCTGACTTTAGTGCATTTAATAAGGTAAAAAGTATTCTGTTAAATTATTCAGCATATAAAAATTAAGTTAAATGACACTGTTTGACATAATGTGTGAGGAAGGATTAATAATTATATTTAATTTTAATATCAACTGTTTAAGCTGTTCAATAATCTATTAATATGTTACAGAAATTTACTACTGCACAAATACAACAATAACAAGTCAAATTCTTAATTCATATGTATTATAAGTGTTACGTAAATAGTCCTAGATATTAAAATAAATATATATATGTACAATATCTAAATTAAGCCAATTTATTTTGGTCAACATATTGTAATAACTCGGGTTAAAATACACAAATATTTTCATATTTATTATTTATAGATAAAAAATAATTGAACAATAATTTATATTCTCACCAAATAGAAAATAGTTACTAAATGCCAAATGGTTTCAAGTTATCTTAATAATAACATTGATTATAAAGATAATCAATGCATACACATTTTACTCATTTCAAAATATTATTTGAGTAATTTTTAACTTAATACATTAAATGACACATAGGAATCCCAGCTTATTAATATGGGAATAATTCAGTCGCATTAAATCAAGATCTTTAAACAGCTAAAATATTTTTAAAACAATTAACGACTAGATTTTCTTAACACTAATGAAGTAATGAGTATAATTTGCAAAATGAATAATGTCAATATAGCAGACCGCATACAACATGAATAATATTAAGATAAAGTTAACGATATGAAATTATTCATTATTAATTACCTGTTTTTATTTCTGGTGCATACAAGTACATAAGAGTAGTAATACAGGAAAGTATTATATTGTCATCATCTATACTCAAATTTTTTTCTATATTTTGTATACCGCCATTTCCAATGATATAATCCTTATTGGCAGGGTCTAAAAATATTTAAAGAAAAACAAAAAATGTAAACAGATAAAGAATTGGAAAGAAAATATGTTTTAACATAATAAAATTATTTAGTACCTATAGTATTTTGAAAATTGTAAATTAAGCATTAACTTAACATTTAATATCCCAGTTTACAAAAACACTTCATAATGTTATAAAAAAGTAAATATTAATTAAATACAGAAAATAAAATTATAATTAAGGTAATATCTCAAGTAAAATTGCATGTTGAATCTATGATCAAAAAATATACAAGTGTGAGGATAAATTGTTCTGTTTAAGAGATCACTGCATTGTACATAGGCATTTGTTGTCTCTATTTTACAAGTAGTTAACATAAAAAATTTATGCTCAGCAGATTATTAATTTTCATTAATTTAAAAATTAGAGTTTTGAAACTTGATGGTAAGAACGTTATGTGTTTGTGGGTTTTTATAGCTGGGTAATTAGTGTAAAAACCACTCATACAAAACACAGATAATGATCATGATTCATTCTAACTTTTAAAGCTAAACGTGATCTACTAAATATAAATTTGGTATGTTACACACTTGTAAAACACAGACAACAAATACCTGTGAGCGTAATCTATTTAATGAGCCAGATAAAATAATAATTTTACTCTAAGAAAATCATATTACTTTAATATTAGCTTTCCTATTTGACATAATATGAACAATCAGTGGCGTGTATCATAAAAATAGTTGGTGCTGCACAAATAATTTTAGGTGATCTACCCCTCAATATACTGTTGTACCGATCTATAAAATGTCCTATTTTTCTTCTATTAATACCCATCTATCCATATATTTAAGGTGTTGTCTGAGCAACACTTGGATAAGATGTTACGCGCCACTGTGGACAATGCTAAAATATTATATTTATTCTATTTTTATTTTATATACTATTTTTTTCTTCTAAAAAATTATAACATAAAAAGAATTACTAGCTGTAATTTCATAAGCTAATTAAAATGATTCTGGTATTAATGAGTTTTTTAAATCCTAAGAAAGTAGGAAAATTATTACGATGATGCTAAAACCTACTAAACCTAGTAACATAACTATGTCCCAAAAAAGACCTATTGGAACATCACACATGACTTTTTAAATTGGTAATGTTCCAAAACATCAAATTATTTACCAACCATAACTATATAATGCATTAATTTACTGGAACAATGAGAAAACAGTACAGGTGCTAAATCAAATGAAAAATACTGAACAATAATTATTACCATTGACTAGATTACAGAGTCCAGCTGCTGCAAATGCTATTAGTTGGTTGTCATCAGAAGCCAACTGTTCCAGGAATAAATCAATTACCTTCTGAGTACGTATGTGCAGATAATTGACGGGATCGTATGCAAAGTTGGCAAGGTTAGCTAAAACTTGAAGCTTCGACTCTAAATAAGTAAACAAATACATCAAAATATATCAGTGGGTTCATTAGGACATCAGTCATATTAAATACCCGCACTGTTCGTTTTTCGGAACTCCTGAACGAGTTGTTTCAAGAACTCTGGCCGGTTTATTCCATCGGCCGGCGTGCGCTTGAGCAAGTCCTGTGGTTTGTGAAACATATATAGACCACGGCAACGGGAAACCGTGTAAGCCAACGTAAACCGTGAACGGCGAATGCCTAAAGGCTATTTTTTTTAACACTTAGTCTAAATTAAAATAATCGAACAATTAAATTGCGAACTCAGTGATTAGTGATTTCATTTCTCGGTTGGCGGAGGAGAGCGCCGTAGTGGACGTACGAATATGTACGATAAGAAGAGCCGTGTTATCACTCGTCGTCGACTCCGTGTTGTACCCACAGATATATAAAAATACATAAAATTTTTTATATATCTGTGGTTGTACCTTATCAATGTGGTTCAACTCGGTAACAACCACTATCTTGTGGCAACCGTTGTGGTCGGATGATAAGTGATAACCGTAGCTCGTAATCGTATGACCGTAGGGCGCGTGGATGAACGGCCGGCAGATAGCAGTCCGGTCGACTGCCGCAACCACTTCCGTCGGTTTGAAACACAGACCCGCCACCAACTGTTGAAAGTTCATTTTCGCTACGCCGACAGACGTGCGCACTCGCTGCACGAATACCCATCATCCCGCCGGAGTCGCACACAGAATTGCTTCTTCATTTATTCTCCTTTTTTTCTATTTCACTCTATCTCTTTTCGTTTTGTTTCTTTGCCGTTGTATCGTCACTTAATTAATTTCGTATAACCACTGCAACAACTATAATCCACACTCCACTTAAATAAAACCTATAAATCTGTGTATCGCGACGACGTAAAAACAATATACTGCGGTTGACGGCGATCAATTACAAAGCACATCATCACCTACGGCTGTCGAAACAATTCACGGACGAGGAAATGGAATGCAAGTCAAAGTCCGGAGCGTCCCCTCACTTTTGGTAAGTTGAAAATTATTTTTGTTTTTCCAAACGGTAACCCTCCCCAGAGTACTTGTCTCTGATCGATTTGTACGTGCAACCGCAGAGCAAACGTATCGTAATATTACCTATGTTTTTAATAATGTGTTTGCATATTAATTGATTACTACCTATAAATTATAATTATTGATTGTCCGTTCCCGCTTTGCGTGAGTAGTGACTTGTTGACTGTCGTCGTTCAAATTGTTATCTCTATTTATCCGAAACGACATTGTATGATATATATATATATATATATATATATATATATATATATGTATATATAAATGTATTTTTTTACACATTCGAATAATTACGTACCAGTAAAATACGTGAACGGTGAACCCTGTACTGCCGATTTTATTATTATAAATTAGGTATAATATTTGATGACTGATATTATTTTATTCACCTATACTATCTGAGTGCTGTTTAATAATATTGTGGAGGGTATACGGTATAGGGTCATTGTTGTCATTTTAATTGGGTATAAAAATATATTTTTAAACGGGTACATGGATTTTGGATGGTTGATAACGACGTCCGCTCGTCGTCGGGGGGTTGGCGGAGAGTCGAACGGGGTTTCGATGGTTATTTTTAGCGGAAGTGTGCGTTTCCTCCGGGTGATTAACCCCCGGTTTCGATAAGACAAACGCCGCGCCATCGCACGCGCTTGTCGTGACATGCGCGTGTGTGACCGACCTGTGCGCGACCACCAGGACACTTGCAGCGGCGGAGGGGTCCACCGCTCAGGAGCAGTCCTGTTCTCTGGTCGGTTGTGCCGGCGCGTGTTGCCCTTGACACAAACTCGATCCGCGGCGGCCACCGCCGCGGAAGATGGGTAGGTAGGTAGGTGGTAGGCTCTATAGGTAGGTACACACTCGCATCGTCCATCCCGTCCGGTACGTTGACCGGACCGGACGCCGGTCGTACGTGTAAACGCACCCGCAGCCGCCGCCGCTGCTGTTGCTGCACGTGTCGACAGAACTTATCGGGCGGCACACAACACCGACCGGGCGCCGTCGCTCTACCCCGTCGGTAAAAATGTATTTATAAATACTGCCGACGATTGCCAAAAGGCCAAGGGAACGAAACGTATATAATATAATATAATATATTACAACAATATTTTTATGTTTTCGAAATTCACTCTCTACTTCATCTCTACATGCGTCTTTCTTTCTCGATTCGCGCGCGTCCTTCGTCGTCGTTTAATATTATTAGTTTTGTACGGCTGAAGACCAACACACCTCGGCACATTAGCGGCGGTCGTTAGCTCGCATTTCTCCTCCTTGCTTGTGCTGTTTTTGTGATCGTCGCGCTAACGACCACGTCTCGGTTCACGTATACTTGTGCGTGGACGACGTGTGCATATTTGGATTAATTAATAATACTATTCTTACCGCGTTTATTGTTTTGTGGCTTCGACACAACCCTGAAACCTCCCCCCCCCCCACCCCACCCGGAGGACACAAGTACGTCGTCGGAATGTGTCGTCGTCGCGGTTAACGACGCCGCAGCCCTTCAACGTGTGTACATAATAATAATTAATAGGTACATCACTTAACGAATTCTTTTGTATATTAAGTTGACAACACTTAAAAAAATATTAACGTTCACACTAACTATTAGAGACTAATATTATAATACAATATAAGTTACTATACCCTTAGCGGTTCCACGACGCCTGTATATTATTATTTATTAATGTTCGATAGTTAAATATTTATCAAACGGACTATGAAACGAACATTATTATTATGATTAACTTCCTATAAGCGGTTAGGGGAAAAACAATAGCAGACGCTCGTTAGCGAGAGGGGAGTCAGAGAGACCACAAGCCCAACACCGAATGTTATACACCATAATATTATGTAGTATGCAAAGTGTGTAACTACACTGCACGCTTTTTGTTGTTAATTTTGACAGTCCTTATACTCGCCATTTCGGGTTTTTTTTTCTCGTTTGATTATGGTGGTGAGGTAATCGAAAATTAATAGAACGACTCGGTACCGGGAATGATAAGCGGGCTGCGTGACTCATGGGGAGATAGAAAATAATATAATTCGTGCCGTGTCTCGAGTCCTCGGAACGGAATTTAAAATATCGTGTGTCTATACGACGCAGTGCACCGGACAGGAGATTACGGTCCGTCAAAATGTTTTGTCTCATACAATCAGAATGTATTGTTGACATCGCGGGGAAGTGTTCGTGTGCTCTGAAAAAATTCGTAAAAAACCTCTGTCGTGTGAGTCTTGCTAGCAGGTGGGGTGGTTAGTCTCTGGCGAAAACGCCGCGTGTCCTATTTTTTTTATCGCAGAAAACCTAACTAATATACGAAGATAACGACGACAACCGCCTGAACCCCGATGACGACACTCCACCAGCCACTTTAATATTATGTATCGTTAAATACTTGTGGGGCGTTGTTGTATAACCACATGTATATATTATTTTCGGCCGCAGTGTTCGCCCTGTATAATAATAATAATAATAATAATAGTGTAATTATTATGCGTCGACTGGATGACGACTATGGCGGCGGTGGTGGTGATGATGATATCGCCGCCGCCGCCGCCGCGTTAAACGCGTGTGAAGCACGTCGAACACGGCCAGCAACGGCACTACGGCAGGCTTATTAAATATACACTGCGCGCTTCGCTCGTTCGTTCCCCGATAGGGCAACTGGTCAAAGTGCACAACTATTATTATTGTTGAATATTACGCGGCCGCGCGCGCGCGCTTGTGTGTGTGCGCGCGCGTGGCGCGTGCAGCACAACCTCGCGCTATAATATTATTATGTATATAATAATAAGAATATTATAAAATATTATAGTCCGTGACTATAATATTTTTACTATCATGCACACAGCGCTATTATAGGGGAGAGGCCGGGGCGGCGTGTACAGTTCTACAGTTCGCCGCGTTGCCATATCGGCTTCGGTGACCGGACCACAGTGTAGAGCAGCAGCGGCTTGTTCACTATGATATTATTAAAGACGAGGACGAAAAAACAACGACGCTCGCCCGGAGGAGACGTGTGCCCCGAGCCGTCTGTAGTGGTAACCCTTCGACAGCGACGACAAACGTTGTTGTTGTAATATTGTTGTACTACGGTTTCCGTTTCCAATCGGCCGGCCGCCGCTTTTCTAGGGAAGCTGCGACGATCGTTGTAACCGCGAGCGACGGTAAATACGTTTTACGATCGTCGTAATAACTCCGAACGCCGCCGGGGATACACGCTAGTATAGTAGTGTAATCGTTCGGTGAAACGTAGTCGCGATAAACGCGATTTAATTGCACATACGTCGTATGTTTTTCTTTATTTTGTTCTATTCCCAACCAATCATAATATTATTATATTATATAGTACAGTATTGTAGTTTTTAATAAAAGCTTTTCGAAATTCGACATTTACGTAGCACGTTTTTTAACATCACCACGTTGCGTGCCGTACAGCTTGGTGATATTACTGATATTCAAACGGTGCAGGCTGAAATTGAAATGCATAACTTCTTATCTCCCTATAGTATCTAGATCTGTTACTTACATGTGTTCGAAAACCTCTGCGTTGTGATAAATAACAAGACCAATTTATTAAATTTACTATGTTACTCCTTTATCATCAAATATGATTATAGGAACACGTATTTTAATTAACTAACTATATTGCAACAATTTAGTGTTCAAAAAATATGCACTTGAGTGTATCTAGTAATTCCATTTGTAGTAAAATATTCAAATCAAAAATTATCTTACCAGTAATCTAAGTCATTATGTATGTATAGTTTAATATTATTTTTATTATATTTATTTACAATTTCGATAATAATCTTTATCTATTAAGTTTATGATTTACTATTTTATTATTCGTTGATAATTTGGAACCATATTCATTTTCATACAAATATATTTTATGATCTTTCATTAGTTCAATATGTATTTATACTTATCTTTATCTCTATATTTATCTTTATCTCTGTATGTATATTTTATATTGCCTAAACGTTTAAACTATTATATCTGATAAAAGTGTAATATTTTATAACATGTCCAAACTGATAATAATATAAATAAAGGTCGGTGTATAAGAATATGATCATGTTCAGTTTTTAAATTACAATAACATTTATACTTATAATATCTCTACAACCCGAGGAAAAACTATGTCTATAGATGATTAGGTACAATTTTAGACGTATGACTAAACTATGTATTTTAAAAATATTTAATCTCTATTAAATTTTGTGTTTTAACAATAATATACTGAATTCCTATTGATTAAAAAAATAAAAATAAAGAACCTTTAA